AATTCCCCAGCCAGCCATGCTGGCTGGGGGATTCTGGGAGTTGAAGTCCACATATCTTAAAAGTGGCCAAGGTTGAGAAACACTGTCCTAGAGTTTTGAGTTTTCATTTTCTTTGGGAAGAAAGATTTGAGAATTTGCACAAACATGGTCTTGCAAATGTTAGGTTAGATTGGGCAGCATTTGCAAAAATCCAGATTCAACATTTTGTAGAGCTTTTTATAATTTGCACCCTCTGTAAAGGTTGTGGAATCACATTTTTTAGGATACTTTTGAGCGGAAGATGGTAGAAATGCTGTTCGCACAATAGCACAGTGACAGCTTCTGGCACATCCAGGATCAAGGCTCCCTTTCTGTGGCTTAAATCTCATAACCGTTCACCACACAGAGACCATTCATTCTAAACAGACTATTTTGTCACACCGCCTGATGTTACTTCTAAACCACTGGGGACGATACAGCTCCTAATATTTGTTAATGCCAAGGAAAAACAAGAAGAAGAAAAGCTCACCTGGGCTTCGGAGAAAAGACTAACCGAAATGCTGTTCTCCACCAGAATAGTTTGAATTTCTCCTTCAAGATCCCCTATCCGGCCTAAGACCCGCACAAAATGCCCATTTGGATAGAGCGATGTTGATTCCCAAGAATCGATGCGCACAACGAACCGAAAATCCTGCGGCAAAACCACGTTATACGTCAGAACGCCAGGAAATACATTAGCACGCACCCACTGGACTCTGAGGGAACTTCGAGGACCATATAACTGTTCACCTGCAGCGCCTCAGCTTGCTGAGTACTAATCCGGATTTTGGGAATCCTGTAATCCCAAGGGGTCACGAGAACCTTCTGCGCATTTTTGCTGTGTAACTGATTCTCTTCCCTGGATGGGAAAGTGACCACATACTCACGCCAGTTCTTCTGTATGATGCCGACCACTTTACCTGGAAGGAAAAATAATGCCAATTATGCCTCAATGAGAGGAAGGAGATGCAGAAGAACATCATTTGGAGGGATGGATCTCTTGACCGGGAAAACTTTTGTGCCTAGGAGGCAATATAAAAACGGGTAACATGATACAGTAAGCCAGATTCAAATGTTTCATTCTGCATGCCACCCGGAGTTAGGATGGAGTCAGGCAGCTTATACATTTAATTACTTAAGAAATTAATTAATGATTAATAAATAATTAAGAATCAATAGAATGACTTTGCAGAGCTGGCCTGCAACTTCAAAAAAGAAGTTCTTTCAGACAAGATCAACGGTTCTTCTCTGGACTCCACACATTAAGAGGGGCATGGAAAGTTGGACTGTACCAAGGTAGTAACAAGTCTGGAAACCAAGCCCTAAAATAAACAGTTAAAGGAGCTGGTCATGATGAGCTCCTATACAAAAGGCAGGATATAAATCTAATACATATTGAAATGAAAAAAACAAGAAGTATGACAGGTGTATAAATATCTAAAAGACTGTTATGGGAAACTCTTAGCATAACTGTTTCTAAAATTTTGGGGTCCCTCCAGGGAAGAAGAACTTTTGAAGTGGGATACTACTTAGGATCTAGTTCAACACTTTTCGGAAGGATAAGAGACACAAGGATAAAAGCTGAAGTTCAGAATGTATAAATTACACAATTAAGCACAATAACCAGTAACCAGCACCAGTTTTCCCCTTTCACACCCCAGTCTCCTCTCCCTGAAGACCTGGGTTATACGTGATCATACGACCACTGTGTGACTGGGGCTCGCAGCCAACCCACATGCCGGCCTGGTCTGAACAGGTCTTGTTCTCTGCCCCCTACCTGTGGGCATGGGTTCACAATAAACCTCCCCAGAGGCTTTTTCTTCACTCTCATTCTCGCCAAGGGCAGCGGTGCGTCCTTTCCATTCGCTCTGTGGCAGTAATTCCACTGCCACTACGTCTCCATGGATTGCCCTGTTCCGAGCTTTTGTGCCATAAATGAGAACATCCGTCTTGAGATCTGGATACAGAGGAAGGAATTGTGGATCAACAGATCGAAGCATTAGAGAGGGGAAAAAACAGGACATCTTTCAATCTGCCCATCCAGGGCCTCAGTTTCCTAATTAGTGATATTCATGGATAAGAGATGATCCATTAAATAATGAACTGACTTCATTAATTAAAGCTACAGAATATTTATTTAAAAAATTAAGTAAAAAAGGCCTAGTTTTAACATACAGGTAGTCCTTGACTTACAACCACAACTGGGACTGGAACTTCTGTCACTAAGCAATGCGGTCATTAAGTGAGTTGTGCCCAATTTTGCTACCTTTTTTGCCGCAGTTGTTAAGCAAATCTGACTTCCCTCATTGGCTCTGCTTGTCAGAAGCCTCCTGAGAAGGTCACAAATGACAATCATGCGATCCCGGGACAGTGCAACCATTGTACAGACATGCTAGTTGCCAAGTGCCTGAACTTTGATCATGTGACCACGGGGACACTGCGACAGTCATAAGTGCAAGGACCAGTCATAAGTCACCTTTTTCAGTGCTGTCATAACTTCGAACGGTCGTTAAATGAATGGTCATAAGTTGAGGACTACCTGTAATAACTGTGAGATATGATACATCTGGGATGCGAAGTTTAAAAAAAAAAAAGCTGTCCAGTATTGCAGGATATTATCCTACTGATTTTTATCACAATCCAATCCATTCCTGTTCAAGTATCCTTAGCAGCTTTCGGGGAACTTGTACCCAAAATGACCCTGAAGCTCAACTCTACCCACCCTAATATCTGCTACAAAACAGAGAGGCAAAGGTCAGGAAAATGTAGAAAAAGCATTGTTTAAAGCAGATTCCATCCATTTAACCAGCCTTCCCTTTCAGGCAGCCTATTTAGGTGTGGACTAAGGCATTTATTAATGTAATGTAATGTAATGTATATAGCCACCCCTCATGTGTACATTGCTTAAGAAGGTAAAACCAGACTTGACTTGGTACCCAAACTGAATATACTGAATTTGTTCTCACCTTTTTCCTTGTTGCTAGCTCCTTGAAATCGCATGAATGCTTCCACTTGGGCTCTGTGCTTATTCACATTCAAGACCCCCTGCAAAAATGAATTGGAGAACTATTTCAGAACTACACAGATAAGCCTTGCTCTGTTTCAGTTCTATGATTATATAAATTGAGGGTTTCTGAACTAGACTGATAAGAGCAGCTCTTTCCTTCTATTGAATCTGGTATCAGGCATCCTGATCTGGAAGGATCAGAAACGCACGGAGGGAATGACGCTGCACTCAAGACTTCTTAGTACTCTCTTCGCATGGGCCTCTAGCTGATCGCTGTAAAAACTAGGCAGACTTGGACAGCACAGGGCTTCCTATGTTACGAAAGATAGTCCTACAACAGGAGTGCATCTGTTCAGGATGGCAGAAGTAGCTTGGAGCACGTGCATTTAGCTTCAGCAATTGCCTCTGGGCAATAAAGAGGAAGAACTAAATTATTGTATTAACTACACCTATTTATGAAAACAGCAATCTGGTCCTAGTGATATTTTCCTTAGTTCTTCTGTTGGCTGGACTACTGAAACGTTAATAATGAAACTGTTAAAAAGCGTTCAAAAACCAGCTGACTGACGTCCATGATGGGTCTTCCAATCGCCCTGTCGGTCTGCTTCCAGACTCTCTTTAAGATCCTGGTTATAATCTACAAAGCCCTCAATCAGTCGTCCTCTAGCCTATACTGTCCTGATGTGTGGGACTGATGATTATGTACCATGAAGTTAGTGTCAACTCTTAGCAACTACATAGATAGATTTTCTCCAGAGGGGATTGTCCCCAACCTGGTTCTTCAGGTCTCCCAATGGTGCACCCATCGCTACTGTAGCTGAGTCCATCCACCTTGCTGCTGGTCATCCTCTTGTTCTATTTCCTTTCACCTTTTCCAGCATCAGAGACTTCTACAGAGAGCTGGATCTTCACTTAATGTGTTCAAAGTAGGATAATTTCATTGGGGCCTCAAGTAAAAACTCTGGGTTGATTTGTTCAGTGATGGGTTTGTTTGCCCATGGTATTCTCAGAGTCTTCAAAAGCATCAATATAGATAGTCCTCAGGTTATGACGGAAATTGGAGCTGGAATTTCCTTTGCTAAGCGATGCAGTCGTAAAGCGCAATTGCATTACTTACCGGTGGCAATCCCTGCAGTCCCATTTGCCATCGTGAACTGATTCCCACAGTCATTAGGCAAGGCAAGTGCCTGCTGGATTCCCACAACCAAAGCCAGTGGGGAAGCCAGCAGGAAATTGCAAGTCCCAGGCCTGCAGGCAGGTAAATGGCTGTTGCCAGGTGGGAAAGGGAATGAGGGGGTGGGCAGGGGTGTGGGGGAGGGTCGGGGAAGATGCGTGGGAGGCACCACGTGGGTTGGGGAGGGTGCACAAGGATGCGAGGGGATGCACAAGAGGTTCCGTGCGGGTCAGGGAGGGTGCGTGAGAAGTGCTGCACAGGTTGGGGAGGGTGCACAAGGGTACAAGGGGGTGTGCAACAGGCGCTGCGTGGGTTGGGAAGGGTGCGAGTAAGAGCAATGGGGAGAAATATAGGAAAGCTTATTTGATTTCACCATTCCTCTAGGTCAGTGTTTCTCAACCTTGGCCTCTTTAAGCTGCTGGACTTCAACTCCCAGAATTCCCCAGCCAGCCCTGGCTCTAGGTGGATGCAGTACCTCTACTTTTCCCTACAACTACAACCCTGAGAGGTAGGCTGGGCTGAAGGACACTGAGTTTTCATGGTGAGAAAAGATCTGAACCTTAAGCAGCGAACCACACTGGCTCTTGCTGGTAACGTCCACCTTGTAGCCTAATAGATCTAACTGGTCTCCTTCCTACTAGCTTTTCCCCATTCCTTGAAGACTCACTTGTTGCAAAAACCCACCAGCTAATCTGGATGTTATTTATTTTATCCGGCCAGCTGTGCTCCTTTTATTACAGCTGCTTCACTGTGTCATTTTAAGTATCATAAACTGCTATTTTGTATCACTAGTTGCCAGGCCATTTTCAAATTAATTAAAATAAATTGCTGCTAAGCCCTCCAGATCTTCATTTTGTGGGTTTTTGTTTTCTACCAATTTTGTAATTCTATAAGGGCCAGCACAGACATGTCAGCAAGGTTCTGGCCCCTTTTTTGCCCACAGAGATAATGACCATTTTAGGCTGTCAGGAGAAAAGAGCAAGAGAGACAAAACACTGAGATGGAAAATATTCCTATTTTGAGGAATTTCCCATACCCACTTTGACATCCCTGGCCCTCATCCTTTTCACTGTTATTTCCAGAAAAAATGGCACAGAAGGGTTATAAAAGCTCATTGCTTATTATTCTGAATAAGCCCGCTTCTTTGGGTATTTACAGCTGACTCTAGCAAAAGCAGGCCACTTGGCCAGATTTCCAGATCCAGTCCATGCATTTTAAAGAAAGATGCTTGGAAGTTTAAAGTAAGCTCATACTAAAGCCACTCCTGGACCTGAGGTCAGAAATGCTGATCATTTCCTCTCTGTTATTTCAGCTTTCTGTGCCCGCATCGCAAACATCACCTGGATGTACTGCCCTGATTTGATTCCCGCTTCCAGGGTTTCCATAGGGAAGTGCTCGGGGTATTCCTTCCCACTGTTTTCTTGGCTTTCACTTTCCCGTTCACGTCGTGACTGGAGTATGGAATCCAAAAGCTCATGAGCAGCTTTTAAATCAGGCCAGAAGTTGTCCAAGTAATTCTGTGCATATAGACAAAAAAAAACAAACCAAAAACAGTCTGGTAATGGGGACCAACTGTCTGTCTGCCTATCTATCTATCTACCTACCTATTCACTTCATTAATTGCAAGACTGATGTCAGCCTTGCAAGGTAGTCCAGATAAGTAGCACATTGACAAGAACTAGCTCTACTTTATTGTAAGGTTATTTAAACAGAATCTTGCAAGTCTCAAAGTACATCTCTCCCCCCTCATCTCTGCAGTCCAAGAAACTAGGGAGGGTCCCTTCTGAGATGTTGGCCAGGCCCCTGTTCCTTCTGTGGGCTCAGCTGCCACTTATCTGACCATTGCCTAGTCTGCAACTCTTCCTCCTGTCTCCCAAGGTCATTCCCACATACCATTACAAGGCCTAAGAAGACCACTTAATAGCATTCCAGTGACTGAAAGTCAGGGGAGCAAGAGGTCCCCTTCTTTTCTGCAGGGAGTTGAGATCCACAGCGCACAGGACAACGATGCAAAGTAGCTGGGCCCATGTCACATCTATGGGTGAAGCTGCCTGCCCGGTTCTGCCAAAACAAGACTCAGCCTGGCGGGCCTTTTTTTGTGCATGAGCCTTAAAACGCAGCAGAACAGGCAACTCCCTCTTCTAAGAGAAGAAGGACATCCATAGAACGGCTCTCATAGGCTAAGCTGGAATTAACAGCAATGGGCTCTTGGTACATTAAACACGAGGTAGGGACCTTGCAGCCAATAGGAAGGTAAGGTGGTAGACAGCGCATAATTCAATTCTGAAATGCAGCAAGTGCCCCTCTGTCCGCACATTTGGTTGCGGACCCCCCCAACATCAGGAATGGCCCCCAAGTGGGCCAATAGCCCTTTATGGAAAAGATTCCCCCTCCCTCCCTTTCTAAAAGGGCAGATCCTGATCTAAAACAGTAGCTGTCTTCACAGCTGAGAAAAATAAAGAACTGGCAAGTCTTTAGGTGAAAGAACAGCACAAAAATATTACCTTGAATGAGATCACAAAGACACCTTCCGTTTCACTTCCAAGATGTTGTATAGCCTCTTCATCCTCTGTAACCATGACAATGGGCATCTGGCCCGAGAAGTGGTTATAGTACCACACAGATGCATTGTAAATACTCCTAGGAGAATCAGTACTCACATTTATCTTTCGATGTCATGTTACATCTTCTCATTTTGCACTGATCCCACCATTTGTATGACTTAATGTCTACATTTTGAAAACATGCAATAACCATCTAAGGCAGGTGCGGTCCTTGGAGTGTTCACTCATCATCACTGCTGAAAACTAAAGGGAGTTCCTTCCACGTGGTGGTATGGTATTTCACTGTAATACTTTACTGATTAGCCATTAGGCCATATCAGAATACCGAATATAAAATGCAAAACAGTAATAAGACCATACGTTAAAAATAGAGTAAAACACATAAGTAAAAGAAAACGCAAATCATACTTCTGTGTCACCCCTACAATTTACCCCAATCAGATCCGCATATTCAGTTCTCAGTTGTACGGTTTTGTTCAAATAAAGGGCTGTACAATATGTAATTTTTCGATTCTGACTGCACATGAAATATATTGTTTTAATATAAGGATCCCAATAGGCCGTTCATCTAATGTGCGGTCCAAGATACTGATCTCTCTCTGTCTTATACAACTGACATTCAAATAATATATGTGTCATGTCCCCTGTCTCTGGAGCTCTGCAAACCCAAGTACGTTCATCATAAGGGACTTGGTTAAACCTTCCATATTTAACCATCGGGTCCAGCTGCTCAAATCTTGCTCAAGTAAATACCCCCCTAAGATCTTTGGGCATTTCTGTGTTTAAATACTTGGCAATTTGGAAGGTGTGTTTATAGTGGCTCATCCATTTCAACGTGCCAGCCTTACTGAGGGTGGCCATCTCTCTCTGAGCTTCAACATCCAAAATCCTTTGTGCAGCAATCTTGTTAACTCGCTTTCCAGAGGCACTTGGACAAGAAACAGGGAGACCACGGCTCCTGATATAATCTGTCAGTTGTACAATCCAAGAGGTGCCGTGGGGAGGTGCAAAAGAAATAAAAACTGTAGGGTAAGCCCTAAGGGAGGTACATTATAATTAAGAAATCCCTCAAGATCCACCCCGCATAACTGTGATGTCCTCCAACGCACTGCGCAGCCTTCAACCCACTCCCAAAACACGAAGCGCAGCCCTTGGACACCAAACTTTGCTCACCCAATCTGAGGTTATGGCACACTAAAATGCTTTTGACCCAACATGCTAAGCCTGGGGGGCATCAGATCGTAATCACCCCCAGGCCAGGTCTGGGCTGACACCCATTAATGTGCAACCTGTCAGCCAAAGTTTCACCGGCCAATGCTCCGTTATGTGCAGTGCGTACCTCGTCTGCCACTTCTCCAGAGATTCTCCCCGCTCTCTTGGCAAATAAGACAGCAGCTGGAACTCATTAAAAAACACAGTGCAGTCACGACGGGCGTCCCTCGCTAAATTTCGCAGTTTATTGTACTGTCTGTAGAAGAAGCACAAGGCAAGACGGGGTTTGAGGCGGAACAACTTTATTATTGAAGACCCAAAATAGCCATCCCTCATATGCAGGCCGTCCCGTTTGAATCATTTGCATCCACGAGCAGCCTACTGCTGCCAGGAGATCTGGATCTATAGGTACCTTTAGACAATAGGTTATATTAAATTATAGTAAGAACAACAGTGGCAGATTTTTTTTTTTTTTTAGGAACAACGTAATATCTTGAACAATTATATCAAAAGAATTACGTAACATGACAAGGTTGCCTGAATATGTTTTCTTCGGTCTGCTGTATCTGTTCTATAACTGCCTTTCATCTTACGACATTGACTTATCCGGAGTCATCGCCAGCTTCAGCGAGGGGCAGGTGGCTGGCCAGGTGCCTTTCCGTGGGCATTCCACCTGCCACCCCTCCTGTCCCTGCCCGGGCACCCCTCGCTGCCCTGCTTTGCCTGCCAACGGGAACGCCAGAACCTTCTTCTTCAACTGCAGCTCAGTGTCAGAATCTGCAGCAATCAAAATATATATCAACTAGAGGACTGTTTTATTAGTATAGTAAATGCCATTTGTATACTTTGATTTTAGGGAATGTTTTCTCAGCTTGCTTTGATTCTGCCATTCTCATTGGGGAGGGGGGAGTGAAAGAAGACAGAGCCGGAGGAAGATTGAAGGCCAGGAAGAAGTCGTGTTATCGGGGCTAGGAATGCACAAGGTCACACGTCTGCGAGAACCAAAAGTGGCCCCTAGACTGAAGGGGGGACAAGGGGGGTAAAAGTAGAGGGAAAATTACGTGGGCTTTAGTTTTAGCAATGCTTGGCTTAGAGCTGCATGTATCGTCCAATAAATGAAATCTTTTTTGAATCTGCTTTGGATTTCAAGAGATTTGTCTGTATTGGGGCTGGAACATTGTAGACCTGACATTCAGCTGCTGCATGCCAGCCTGGCCTACCAATGAAAGGGCTGTTCCTGCCAAGGGGGCAGCCAGGCACATTTTAAAAGCATGTTCCCAAGTCTCCTAATGTTGTGAGCCGCCCAGAGTCATGTACTTGAGATGTGTGGCCACCAAAACGAAACGAAATGAAATAAAACGAAGTCATCAATAAATGAATGAACAGCAAGCCTTTCTTGCAGGGCATGATGCCAATGAAAGAATCAGAGAGCTTTCTGGACCAGCCTTCCCTTACTGGGGCTTCCTTCAGAGATGTGGATCCCGACGCTAGAATTCCCTGGGCAATGCATCTTGTTGAGAATTCTGGGAATTGCTCTGTGTATTTGGACGGTGTCCAGTTTGGGGAGAACTGCTCTATTTCATTGGCATCATTCTCACCAATGAGAATGGCAGAATCACCTGCCGTGCATCTGTTGGAAACTCCAGTTATGACCCAGCGGCTAATGAGGAGCACATTTATCTGCTCACCTCAGCCCCAGCCTCTCCTAAGGAACCAAGGTCTTCGCCCTCTTCAGCCAACCCTGCAAACTTCCAGTAGCTTCACCCGGGTGATCCTGCTTTTAGCTGTGTATCTGGCACCCGGGTTTAGCTGGATGTTTTGGTTCTTTCTCTTGCTCAGCCCGGTACCTCCGGCTGCTCCTTCTACGTGACTTTCCCTTCAATCTGTCAGAGCTTATTCAACTGCGATTCAAATGATCCATTACTTTCGGACCAGCCCAAATGTTGTCTGTCTTTTGTCTGTAACCAGTTGTAACAAGGGAACAAAGGAACCCTTCCTTAGCAAAAGTTTTATTATTAATCAATACCTTTTTGGACACTTTAGGACACTTTAGGGGGAGAGCTGTGTTAATCGATGGTGACAAAAAATCAGGAGTCTGGTAGCCCCTTTTCTGACTCACTGGTTTTTATTAAAAGGTGGAAGCTTTTGTGAGCTGTGTGTGTGTGTGTGTGCGTGTATAGAAGCAAGAAACCTAAGAAAACACATCCTCTTTTCTATTTATAAGAGAAAAAAACCATATTATAAACCCTGGACATTATTAAGGGGAGGAAGATATATGTGTTGTTCTTATAAATGAGCCAGAAAATGTAGGTAAACATGGTTAATAGCAAGGCTTCTCTGAAAAGTTTAGGAATGTTTAATTTTGGATCTTTAGTTTACCTTAAAAGGTTTGATTGCATTAGGAATGTTTTTCATCCCCCTCTCTGGGCAGCAATTTTTGCTTGCTCAATCTAAAATATCTGCCTTTTTTTTTCCTTTTGAGTTGCTGGTTGATCAGAGAGGAAGGTGGAAGGCCTTAGAAGTGAGTGAAACATGGAAGAAAGAAGTATTTAGCACCGAGCCCCTGAGTGTGTATGAGGTAAGAGTAATGAATAATGAGATTTATAATATAACAATAACAAATATTGAAAATTCAAAATTTACAGGAGTTACATTAGCTTTAGAAGGGCTTTTAATGTAACTTCGCTTTTTTTCTGCCAGCTGGGAGAAAAGGAAATTCTTCCGTTTTGCTTAGCATTAATAGGGATTATATTACGATAAGAGGTCATTCTGTTTTGTTCTGTAGAACTTCATAGAATTTCTAAATCCATCTTTGTGTATTTTGCCTTTTTAGCCTTAATGGACTGATTTTGCCTCATGAACTGCAACTGTGGCTCACTGTATTCACATTTTAGTTTTTTCCAAATGGGAATATGAGACTCGGCAGGCCAGGAAGCTCAGCATACGGCCTTCATGGCTTTGGAGTCTACTAGGACAAAGATGTTCATAATGTGAGCAGGACCAGTCATGTTGGATGGATGTTCTGGAAAGGAGACTGACTACTGTAATTGGCTTGGGGTTCCCATGGCGAGAGCATCGCTGCTTTCCAGCACCGGCCCCATCATCCTTGGATACTGCTCTGCTCCACCCCCCCCACCCTCCCCAGAACCTGGCCAGGAGATCTGCCATAGGGCCCAGTTTAGCCTTCAGTCTCTGAACTGGGCTCAGAAATGCTGGGCGTTGCACACATCCACACGGGAGGCAGCCATTCCGACGGAGGGGGCTCCAGAACTACTTGTAACTTTCAACAGTTTCTGCTCAGGTCACGGTCGACAGGAACGCAGCATAACGTATGGTAAAATAAAAAGTATTTTCCCATTTAAAATTTTCTGTTTGGATTATGAGGGATAATGCTGGCAGTGCCTCGGCACTCAACAATGCCATCCTTTAAAAGCACTGTCTCATAAATAGAAAGGGCGTATATTAAAAGCTGCCATCTTGCAAATCATCGAGATCTTATCAGAGTTTAATAACATGAAATTAACGGATTAAGAAAAGTGTCAGATCTATTGCTCTGCACCACATAGCAGCAGGAGCATCTGTGCCTGGAAAAATGCTCCAGATTCCGAACTGGCTCCCAGGAGGATGGTGGCACCGAAGGTTTCCTGTCCTCCTTGCTGGGGGGAGTGGATGCTTAGCCCAATGTCCCCTATTCCTACTCATGAGAGGAAGAATCCACTATTCCGATGCTGTTTACTGACATTTGGATTAATCGCTGAACCTCAGCGTATAAAATTTAATAATTAAGCCATAAATTTTGCCATGGGAAGGGAAAAGGAGAGGCAGTGGCATCGATCACCCACACCCACGACAGCCTCCCTAACCCCCCGGGGGCCTCCACTCTCCTGCCCCTCCACCTGAGTACAGAGGTGCCCCAGGAGTCTGGATGGGGCAGAACAGGGAAGACCCTCCCAGGAATCAGCCTTTAACAGGGCGCCCAGACCCAAGGGGTTTTGGAGTGCATGGGGCTAGATTACAAACCCAACAATCAAATAAAGATTTTTATTTGAATAAAAGCAAAAAGCAGGAGTGTGGGAGAAGAGCGGCTGAAATTACATTCCGGCGCTCAGGCTGAGCGAACGAGCGTACAGCTACAAAGCACCCAAAACTGAGCCTATGGCACTCAACAAGCCCTCATGCGACCGATGTTCCCTGCTAATCTTAACGTACTGGTCCCACTGCCCACTTGGGTGGGTTCTCTTCAGACCCCCACAGCCAAAGCAAAGACACTCCCAGCTTCCTCCCCCCCACCTCCCCCGTTCACTGGGGAAGAGGGGCTGCCCAAGATGAAAAGCCTCCTTCATCCGCCTCCAGAGACTAAAATCTGCAACTCCGCTGAAACCTCATACGACTGCAATGCAAGAAGTGTATCTAAATACAAAAGCACCACAATCCAAGTATTAAATTTCACATTATGCAGAATGTGAACAAGGTGTCAATCAAGTAGTTAATACACAACAGAAAAATGGCTGAGATTGCCAAAACGTGCAATCACACCCATTTCTTCCAAGTTAGTCCCATCAAAGAATGTTCTTGATGAGGAATATTTGGCCCCATCTGTCAGAGTACAGGAAGGGTGCCCAGGAAGGCAAGCAGCAGATTGTATGTCACGAATGAAGAAGATTAAGAAATATCTTACAGGCACAACATGAAACCATTTTCACAATCCAGGAAGTGGCCTACAGTCAAAAAACCATACCAGCGGCAGGAAGACATTAAGCATTTTTATTAACTTGCTGTATTATGATTTTGGATTAGAATATTTCCATTAGCTCTGAAATATATTCATAGATAATGATGCTATAATTAATGTCAGCTAGAAAAATCCCTGATTAACCTTTCAGGTCCCAAGGGTATTTAAAGTACAGATGTATTCACAGAATTGCTAGAGCATATTATTAACCTTTTCAATTGTTAAAAAAAAAATAAAAAAGGGGAACACTAGAACTACATTATTTGCAGTTTGGTTCTGTATATCTTGGCCTTTCCAAAGCCACTGTAAAGCTGAAATAAATCCACTACATATACATCTGAAAGAATGTGATATTTTAAGCCTATCTATTAATTTGCAAGGCAGATTATATACAGTAGGGCCTGAAAATTTTCATTTTTGTAACAGTATATTATGGACTGATTTATGCATGCATGTTTATCTTGATCATCAAGGGGTGACCTGTACCACAGACTACAACTGAACAGAAGTAGTTTATTTAGTTTAGGGGTCTAGGTGTGAAAACACAAACACCCGTCAATTCTAGGTGAAAACTTTGAAATAATAGGAGACGATGCTTGTGGGATTTACATCCTCCAGGAACTCAAGGCAGCATTCCTAGTGCCCCCTCCTCCCATTTTTCCCCACAACGACCCCTCTGTCAGGTAGGCTGGGTGGGGAAGAGCACCTGGCCCCAGGTCATCCAGGGAGCGTCCATGGCTGCGGGCAAACCTGAACCTGGAATCTCCCCAGTGCTATTCCAGTACCTTCGCCTCCTTGGCTCTTGATGGAAAGAGAGGAACATATCCATGCGCCTGAGTTGGGAACCCCCTCCTAACCCCCCCAAGAAAACCAGGTACCTGCGGCCTCTTTGCTGCTGCATCGCTTGACATGCCGTCTGCATGAAGACGAGCCCCTTCAGCTCAGGCAACTCCAGAATTTCCAGGTAATCTTGGAGCACTTTCCAATCGGGCACAACATAGTGAGTCACATCATCCGACAGCAATTTCCCATCTAAAACAGAAAATAACGTTTGCAATAACTAACTAACTAACTAACTAACTAATCAGGTATGACAAAATACAGGCAGGGAGGTCTCCGCTCTGAGGGATTTACAGTTTGAAATGGGAAAACAGTTGAAGAAGGGAGAGAAGGCACGGTAAAAGTGCATAATTGGGGAAATTATGCAGTTCTTAACTTACAAAAACTTAGAACCGGGGACCAGTTTGGGGCCAGAGCAGGGATTTTATGGACAGAATGATTGGCAATGACTTCTGGGTTTTTAAAAAATTAATCCCAAATGCAAGGTGATAGTGGGACAATGTTTACTGGTATTGAACCCAGGGAGGGTTACACCTGAGACAGTCCTAACAAAGCCAATATTCCCACTTAACAATCATCCTTGGGGGGGGGGGCTTATCCTGCTGTCAGTGGGAGCTTCTTCAAGGCCAGTGCCCACAAAATGGGAGGATTTGGCTACAAGCACAACTGAGAAGGCTTAAAATTCTTCTAGGGGCTGTGCTGCCTTTTGGATTCAATTCCAAATCTTGCTCTGAAACACACAAGGACAGCATGTAGTCTTTGACTGCAACTTTTTAAAGCAGCTGCATTTTATCTTGGGATGTGGCTGTCAAAGGGCAGCCACGTGGTCCTGCAAAAAGATGCAGCTGCTTTAAAGAGTCAGAGACAAGGTGCTACAATCAAACTTCACCTTTTTGAATACCCATACCTTCTTCTTCTTGTGCTCCAACCCTAATATCAGTGGGAGACTTTTCCCTGCTCTTTAATGGGGGTGGGTGGGAACACCAGACAGGCTGCTCACAGCATTAAACAGTTTGGCTCAGAGTTGCCACGGGGCATGCAAACTGAGAGATTGAATTAAACACCTCATGGGTGGGATGCTATCTTTTCAGAAAGCACAGCTGAAGAAGAGAAAAACTGCCCTTGGCTTATCACATTTAGTCTTGGGGAGATGTTCTTATGTCATATTCTCCCCCGACTTTGTGTATCAGAAAGAGGCCACGTTGCTGAAACAGTCTGGAAATAATTTTATTAAGAACAAGTATCTATTTTATTAGTAAATGTAGGTGGCTTCAAAGTGCTAGCTACCAACTCGTTTACTTTAGGGGGAAAGGGCAAAGAGGTTGACTTAACCATTTTACCCTCAATTGTGATGGGGAAAAAACAGGGGAAATTGGGTATTCCATGTCATTTTTTATAATTTTCTAACAGCTTTTCATTTTCGCAAAGCTGCAAGTGAGGTCCCTATATGGGTGAGGATCCTTCATTTCTGGATCATTCCAATCAATCTTGGGATTCAAATTGTTGCCTGGAGATTCAGACGAGGGGTCTCCCCCAAGAGAAGACTCCCAGAGAAGGGTCCGTTTCACAAGAAGAGTGTATTAGAGTCAGCTGAGTGGGCAACACTCTCAAGTGAGAAATGCACAATGCCAGGGATTTTCATCGGTCTTTTTGGCACGTGTGTGTTACAGGCAATACATGTGCTAGTTTCAGCTTCCTAATTCCTATAGCTTACATATTATTGGTTGCACCAGCATGGTATATAAAAGCAGGAAGTGTTTATTGGTTAGATTAATGCCTGTTTAATCATGTACTTTCATGGGTTCAGCCTGTGCTGCTGGTAAGGCCTTTCACACACACACTAATTGTGCAGAAAGCAAAACTTTCCACCGGATCCTTCCTCCAGCTACTACTGCCTGGCACGGAAACCACATCCTCTTGAAACTAAACTGCAGGCCCTTGATTAATTAAGCTTTAGCACTGTCTCACTGAAAGCCACGTGGCCTCGACGTTCACTGCTCCATCAGTGAAGGGCTTGCAGGGCCGTACGCTCGACGGGATCTCACAGAGAAGAACGTATGCAAAGAAAACTTGCGATAAGTCCTTCCTGGGGCTTGTTCGGGCCGAATGTGCTGAACAGCAGCCCAGAGCTCGAAACCAGACGCAGCTGAGGGGCAGGGGCGGGTCTCCCTGCTGAGGGACGACCCGAAGCGCGTCCCCAGCAGCTGCTGGGGGGGAACCGAAAGAAAGGGGCTGGACTGCAGCGCAAGGCAGCTGTTTTAGCAGCCTGTTTTTAATATTTTTAAAAATTTTTAAAAATATTAAAAACAGGCTGCTAAAACAGCTGCCTTGCGCTGCAGTCCAGCCCCTTTCTTTCGGTTCCCCCCCAGCAGCTGCTGGGGGGGAACCGAAAGAAAGGGGCTGGACTGCAGCGCAAGGCAGCTGTTTTAGCAGCCTGTTTTTAATATTTTTAAAAATTTTTAAAGTGCATTTTGACTTTCCTCGCCCAGGATCGCCCTCCCTCCAATGAGAAGCCACGGAACTGGACGTTAAGCTCCTTCCGTGCCTCTGAAATAAGGGCTCTCGACACCAGCAGGCCATTTCCTCCACCACACGCCCCTTTCCAACTCAACAGCTGCGTTCACACAACCCGCTGTCCCCATGAGGCGAATGTTCCGGGATCACACAGGAACCCCGGCTCCTCCGTCCCTCCCTGGCTCCTCCATTCCCTCCCGCCGTGCAGAAGCCCCGCCCCACCAGGGGAAGGCCGCGAACGGCGTTCACACGACCACGCGTCCCCCGAGCCGCCGCTCCGCCCCCGCTCTCACGCACCGCGGGGACAGCCCACCCGGCAGAGGGCGCTGCCGCAGGGCACGTCGGGCCGCAGGTAGTGCTCGCGCACGACCCGCACCGAGCGGCCTTGCAGGCCCCGCAGCAGTAGCACCTTCTCGGTCCGTAGCATCCCCGCCAGAAGGCGGGGTCTCGCGGCCACGCCTCCCGTTGCCGGGCCGC